CCTTAATTACATCTCCACAAGAATAGTAGAGAACACCTTTTGATTCTGACTTGGAGAAATGAATGCATAGAACAAAAGAAAGGAACAATAGGGTACTTAAAAGAAATATTCATTTGCGTTTCTTTTACATCAAGTGTACAAGAATGAGAACAAAGAAAAAGAAAATACAACTGAGAAACTATACAACAATAAATTTATCTCTTTTCTTTTTGATACAAAGAAAATTTCATTCTAACTCCTTTCTTCACAATAATAGTTAATCAGATGAAATTCTGACTGTAGACAGCCTTAATCCTTGGATTTTTGCATATAAAAAAGGAACCATAGTAAATCAAACTGAATATTTTATTTAGACGGTTTTTATCCCTCTGTTCTCCATTTTCATTAGGGAACCATAATCAGCCCTTGAGAATTAGACTGTAGATGGTTTAATCCCTAACATTGTCTTGAAAGAGAGACCATAATCAACCAAGTAGAGGCACCTGGCTGTAGATGGTTTATTTCCCTCTATTTCCTTTCTCAAAAGAGAAAATAAAAGAGAGAGAAAGAAGGATACATAGTAGAAGACATATATAGGAAGTATTCACAAAGAGTACTTTCCTTTTTCTACCTGTAATTAGTGAGACTTTTCCCTCCTTGCCTTCCCTTGAGCACTTCTCTTTTCTTCTCTCTTTATCTTAGTTTTTCTTTAAAATCTCTTGAGAGATTTTTCTCCGAAGAGTCTGTCTATAGCTTCCCCTTAAGGAGCTTAAATAGGGAGTGGGGTAGTTATGTAACTACCTCCTCCTCCTCCTAGGTGAAGGACACCTGTCCCTCCCACTTAAAGAGAGGGAACTCCCACACGGGATACTTTCTTATAGTTTTGATAATTTGGCTAGCAAACTAGCCAACCCACTTATTTGGGTTATTAAATTATTAAATATTATTTGGATTAAAAAAATGCCTCCAACATCCAACCAGAAAGTTGAGAGAAAAAAAATGACAGATTTCAGTTAATTCTTTCTATAAAGCCTTAGTCAGGAATCAGGTGGAAATTCATCACATTGGAGGTGTGTGGGGTAACCCAATCCCCCCAAGAATTGAAGCTTTTGTGTGGCTGGTGGCAATGAACAGCATCCTTACTCAAGATCAGTTGAAAAATAGAGGTGTCTTTGGCTAACAGGAGCTCATATGTGAGATGGATTCAGAAGATGTAATGCACTTGTTGGTCAACTGTGTCTATGTGAGCTGTATTTGGTTATTCTACTTTCGCCTCTTCAACAAGGGCGAATGGGATCCTCAATCGCCTAAGGAAATCTTTGAAAAGTGGCCAAGAATCAATAGGGGGAAGAAGGCTAAATCATGTGGAGTAGTGTTCCATTTGCAGTGTGCTGGGAGTGTGGAAAGAAAAAAATAGAAGAATTTTCTCCAACAACGCAAGAGAGAAGGAACGACTTTGTGCTGAATTATTGGAATGGATGTTAACTCTCCCAGAATTCAGAGATGAAAGGAGAGAAAACTTTGGCTTGGATTTCTGGAACTTTTTGAGTCTTTGTTAATTGTTGCAAGGCTTTATGTTTCTGTCTGTTCTTTTGTTCTTCTTTATGTCTTATCCCAGTTAGCTGAATTGTGGGTGATGCCCTGTACTTTCTTCTCATTTAATGGATTTTCTTTTTTATTTATCTTCAAAAAAAAAAACCACCAAACACTCCTACCTGCCCTCCACCTTTTCTCCTTCTACCTTACCCCTCTCTTCTCCCTCCACCCCATCCCTGAATTCAGCCACCTCCCTCCTCCAACCCTTGAGAACAACCACCACTTGACTCAACAAAACCATCCCTAATCTATTTTTGCTGCCTAACAAAAAAACAAAAGAGAAGCAAGGCTACCCCGAATTCACACCTGCCGCCTTCTAATCCCTTTGAGATAAGGAAATAAAAGATCGCATCCCTCTATCAAAAGACCCCCATTAGACTCTTCGACTTCTCCCCTCTCAACATTTTCAACCACGTGGCCATCATCAAATAAAATGACCTCATCCCTCCTATCAAAATTACCTTATTGATGCTTGACCTTTCAAGACCATTGTCTTCAACCTCTGGCTGACTTTTCACCTCTCCAACAGAGACCACAATAGGAGAGAGGACGACATCCTTCCATTCCCCCATCTTCTCTTTCCTAGTCTCCAAGCTGCATGTGGACAAGACAGAGATCTTCGCTGCCCTCCAAAATGTCTAGTCTTCCCCTTCTAAGAACACATGCAAGTCAAGTTTCCCCTCCAAAGAACAACTCCAATGAAGTTGGAATTTTGTCCAAATCTTCACATTCCACTAAGATTCTGCAAAATCAATCGTCTCCCAACTTCTATTTTTGTCATCAAAGCTTAGAAAATTTCACATCTTTCTCTGATCATTGTGAAGGTCATCAGACCCCAAGCATGCAAGGGAATTCCCACAATACCTATCCACACCACCCTTTTTCTCCTTCAATTAAGAATCGACCCTGCTGCTGGGAACCACCAACCTAATCGTAAGTCAATCTCCCTTGTTTTCTCCCATTTTGAAACCAACACGTACTCTGCATCTTCCCTACTCTGAAACATAAACAGAGGCAGACCACTAACCCGATTTCTAACACCCACGACTCTTTCTTCACCCCATTCAAGCTTCGTCCATGCTTCAAACAGCTCTTTCTTCAACTTGATTCAATGAGACAAGCATTTAAGAGTTTCAACTTCTCATTCAAATTTTCAACCTGATTCACCTCAATCTGAACCCTAAACTTCTCAACCTCAACCACACCTTAAGAGATAAAGCAGTCAGCCCAATGGCTGGATTTAGAAATATACTGAACCTGCATTCCTGACATCTATAACACTTAGTACGTACAAAAAGTCATATGTCTTTTTCTTCCACTATCCATAATATCTCATCCCACCTTTAATATAATCATGTATCTCCAACATATGTTTCCTTTTTGTCTTCTATTTCCATTCCCAAACCTTTGACAGAGGCCAAGGCCCAACCTAAATGGAGGGATGATGTAAACCAAGATGGTTGCATTAATAAAGAACAACACATGGGAGTTGGTTGAGTTACCTAGAGGAAAGATCTGAGTTGGCTATAAATAAGTCTTTACAGTGAAGTAAAGATCAGATGGGAGCACAGAAAGGTACAAGGCAAGATTACTAGTAAACGAGTACACACAGACCTATAGGGTAGATTATGAGAAGACATTCTCACCTGTTGCTAACATGCCTAATATGTATGTTTTTATCATCTTTGGTTAGGCATTTTGAGTGGCCCTAACTATAGTTTGATGTCAAAAATGCATAATTAAATAGAGGTCTTAATGAAGAGGTCTACATGATATTGCCTCCAAGGTTTTATGATCAAGAGAGATATGGTATATAGTCCATAAACTTAAAAAGGCTTCATATGCCCTAAAATAATCTCCTCGTGCCTAGTTTAATAGATTTAGGAGAACACATTACAAAGGATTGGCTTTAAGCAATCACACTGTGATCAACAATTGTTTATCAAGAAGAATGGTGACTTGATTACTTTCCATATTGTGTATGTAGATGATATTATAATGACTCATAGTTGTCAAGGCAATGCCTAGGTGCCTAGGTGTCTAGGAACTTCTTCGGGCTCACCTCGCCCAAAACGCCATGGCATTTTCATACAAACTCTTCCACCAAAGTTCTGTTTGATTTTAATTGGAGGGAACTTCCAATCCATTATTACTTTGTCTTTCGCAGTGGAAGAGCTTGCTACTTCGAACCACGCCATCATGATATCAGCTACTGTCAACATTTGAAATGCTTCCAAACCTTTTACAAAGTGAGTTGTTTTTGTCTTTATGCTGTCTACAACATCTTCTAGGATCATGTACCTTTCCTTCAATATTCCTTCATTTCATTCTTCCCAATTTGTCCAGACAATTGTTGCCCTGACTGCCTTCCAAACTTTTTACCCCTCTCCCATTTTGTCTTGCCCTATTTCCCCCATTTGGAGAGGTCCCATCCCCCCCCCTAAAACTAGAAGGTTTTGCTGAGAAGTCTTGCATGATAAGCTCAATACCTATGAGAATCTCCTAAGGAGAAAATCCTATTGCCTTTTCTCCCCACACATTTTGCATTTTCCGCAAGGCAAGTGGTGAAAGTCATTCCATTTACTAATCAACTATCAATTTGCTAACAGCACTTTGAAGTTTTTCTTCTCTTTATTTGGATGCAGGTGAATACCCCCTTTCAGACCTACAGAGTTTCTTGCACCCTCCTTTTACTTGCCTCCTAGAAAAAGAGGCAAAGGAAAAATAATGTGATGTGTCAGAACTACCACTCTTTGTGCATTTGGGACAAAAGAAACTCAAGAATTTTCAGAGAGAAGTAGACCAAAGAAGTTGTTATGGAAAAAATTTGGTGAAGACAAGCATTTTTGAAAACTTTAGACGCTTTCACCATTTCATGATGGATGATACATGTAGAAATTGGTTGATTGTGGCCTCCTCTTCATCAGCTAACCCCAAGCAGAATCAGATATGGTGACTGCCCACTATTAAGACTTGAGCTGAATATTGATTAATGAAGAACCAGGGGCCATCTGGTATAAGGGTGTTTTCAGAAATGAGGAAGGAATTTGAGGAAACATTCAAGCAATCTACTCGGGTCCAAAGGGGGTTGGGGAGAGCAGAAATATAGGCAYTGGAGCAGGGTCTAAGGCTGGCCAACTCTCCCAATATCAAAGATTTACAGGTGGAGAGAGATTCCAAGGTTATAATGGCATGGGTAAGAAGAACAAAGTGGGTGCTTCGAAATATGGGCATATGATATACGAGATGGAGAGTTTTTTCCCAGTTTCCCGTATTCATGACTGTATCCGTATCCAAAACTGGGCATCATAGCTGAAAACCTAAAATCAGTAGATTCTTTTGCATTGTCAAATATCACAAGATCAAATTGTTATGCCTAAGAAATGGACCAAATTATTAAGATAAAGGTATCAATTTCAACTCACCAGACAGAGAGAAATGTCGTAAGATAATAAACAGTATTCAGTAGCCCATATGACAAAATACCAGCAATGCCATATCTCCTCAGCTTCTTCAGTGTCCTGAGAAAACCGTTTTCAATGTAATTCTAATGCATAGTTACTTTACCAATAAACAATAATAACACACCAACATGGGGTTATTGCTTGGTGTAATAGTAAAACAATGGGATGACAAACATGAGAATACAAGCCCAAGTCTAAGAGCAACTACTTTGTCAACAATAAAGCATGGATGCCATTCACTTCCGGTTCTCAAACAAAGGAAAGAAAGAAAAAGAGATAAATAAAAGCAAATGGTTTTGACGAACTACATTTGGAAGGTTCATAAATGATAGTACAATAAAATAAAAAAATAAAAAATAAATAAACATGATACAGAACAAAAAAGTGAGAAAAAAAAATAACTTGGTAAATTTACAAGATCTAGGTTAACCCGACATCACAAAAGGATATTATGTCCAGCAATTTTTCTATCAATAACATAAAAGTATTGTATTTACAAGTAAAATTCTGGTAAAACTGTCAAGTTTCAAAGTTGAATGTAAAGTAAATGAAAATGGATCAACCCAATACCATCAATCAAGTCCCTATTCTACAGAACTTTCCACCTTTAAAAATAAAGCCATAGAATAATATGAAATGCAAAAGGACTATGAAAAGGAAAAAAGTCCACATCATAGTTTTCAAGGCGTCTAGGCAATTCTGGGCGACACTGGGGCGCCTAGGCGATAAAAATTTTAAAATATAAAAATTTGACTTTTGGCTAGTTTCCTAGTTTTATATACCATTCAGCATGTATGTTAATTGAAAAAATAGCAATTCTCTTTATTAAGATCATTAAATTTCCTCTAAAAATGTGGCAAATCATCACATCTAAAAGATAAAAATCTTTTACATATATTAATTTCATTATTTTCAAAAATAATACTACTGTAATAAAGTATTTAATAGAGAATATTCATATCAATTAGCAGCTAAAGATGGTTATCAACTTTATATGATAAATATTCAAGATGGAAAGTAAAATAGGAAAAAAACAAGGATGGAGTTTCTGTTTTATTTTATTAGAGAGAGAGAGAGAATAGAAAAAATAACTTTATTATTCTATTCTTTCTTTCCTCTTTCTTTTCTTTCTTTCTTTCTTTCTTTCTTTTTCTCTTCTCAAAACCCTTTGATCTTTTAAATTTCAATAGTAAAACATTAAAACAAAGTATAATTGATATATATATGGCATATAATAAAATGTATTAACACATACATCAATAAGATACAGCAATATAAATGATATTATAAAAGGTGCCCGCCTTGTCATTTTTGTCGCCTAGGTGGGCGCCTAGTCGCCTAGAAGGGCATCTAGTTGCTAAAAGTCAAGGCTTTTGGGCTAGGCGCCCTTGGCTGGGCGCCTAGGCGACACCTTGACAACTATGACTCCACATGGATGAATTTCTAGGGATAAGATCAAGCACCACCTGTAGTGTAATCAAACTTAACTTCTTAATTAAACTATAAAGTGGCATAAATGTGCCATGATAAAACCTAAGTTACAACTTCCAACAGTTCTCAGGAGACCACAATTCGGTTTTCTTAACTTATAAAACCTAAGATAACTCCATTGATTTTTTACAGGATTGTTCTAAATATGGAAAATGTATGACAAAGGAGAGACTGGGGGTACAGTGAAGGATTTGGAAGAGGCAAAATTTTGCAACTTATCTGTAGAAAGAATAGGTCGAATGGGCCTTTGTGGTTTTATTTCTTTTAATTTATGTTTTAAGCTTATGTTCTTTTAGTTATGGACCTCTTTTTGTTTGTTTTATTAGTTCTTATTGCTGGCTGCCCTATTAAGGGAACCTAAGGAATTGTACTCAGTTTTAGATTGAGAAATAAAAGACATCTTGAGGGGATTGAGAAGGGATCAAACATCTTCTCTTCTCTCTTCCTTCCTCTTCTTCTTCCACAAGCTTTTGCTGAAATCTTCTCTTCTTTCTTTCTTTTCTTTTTTCTATAGTTTTCTGATTTACAGCAGGTGTGTTTCACAACTTGGTTTTAGAGTGGGAAAAAAAGATATTGGACTTCATAAGAAACCACCAAGTTCAAGCTCAACAAGGCCAGAGATGGTTTATATAAGAGAGAAGCTTACCACATGATACAAGAGACTTGATCAGTTTGGATAGGATGGGAGTTCCAAACTTACAAATTGTGTATATTAAACAAAAACATACATAGAGAGATTTGACAGCAAATAGGTTTGGGGTAATACATTCCCCTCCAAGGATTGTTTTAGAAAAATGAGGTTTGGCCCTCCACCTGTAGCCTGTAGTTAATTTAGGGGTTAAAAAAATGTAGAGTCATGAGTTTATGTATACTTATATTTACCTGAGAGGAGCTTTGTCCTTGTACTTGTACAGTAATATTATAAGAGCTATAGACCTAAGCGGCTGGCCCAAGGTTTTTCAGTAGCCCTTGCTTTCCTCTTCTTCTTCTTCACCTTACTTCTTTGTCATCTACTCTTGATCACCACACACAGACCACTCAACATTCCATTTGCACATTCTATGCCAAAGATGCAAAAAGGAACAAAAAGAAGGCAACTAGGCTAAAGGCAAGCAAAGCTAGCCCAGCAACCTCTGGCTGTCAACAAGGAGTCAGCTAGTAATAGCAGCTTCAAAAACATTCTGACCTTAATATTTATTTCCACTTAAGGTCAATTCTTCATGATCTTGAGTTCCATTGCATTAATGAATCTAGTTATTCCTAAACCAAGAATTCTATTTTCTTCTTTTTCTAGCACAATTTCTTTATTAGTAATCAACCCTACTTAATATGTTATAGACTTATAGTTACGTTTCAAAATTTACCTTCATTTGAAAGGACAATAATTAGACTCACCATCACCAAATTATAAATGAAATTCAGCAGCCTGTAGTTTGGAAAAATTACATGGTAAGGCAAATAGTAAGTACTCATTGGATGTAAAGGTTTTAGCTTTCTGGCTTGTGCTTTTCTCCTTCATGCCTGAAAACAAAGTAAGAATGTCAGTTCTGAGTAAAAAATCTGAAACAATAAGTAAATATTAGTAAGATAGAGCATGACATTTGGATTTTAGCTTAAGCTTGCAACTCAGCAATGTCCTATTTATGCAGTGAAGAAAAACTTGTAGAAGCTAATATTACCCTCATGATCAGAAGAAGAGCCACGATGACCATCTTCTAAAATATCATAAGTCTGACCTTGACACAAAAGACGGAACATAAACATGAGATGTTAGCATATAAATTTGAAACTAGGAAAACTAATGTGGATAATAAGATGGATAAATCAATTCAATGCTCCCATGACAAAAACTCTTAGAGCTAAGAAAACTAAAAGCAAAAGAAAACAAGAAATCACTTTGAAATAAAAASCCGGGTCATACATGCACAGAAAGATATGCAGTGGTAAAACAGAACAGATCCAACCCAAATAAATGTTTAAGATAAATTATAATGTTATATATGCATGGTACAAAGAAAACCAAAATGATAGTAAGTTAACTCATCATGCCAGCATCAAAGCGTCTAAAACACGCATTGCATGATGCCTTCATAAATAGGTGTCATTTCCATGTTGGGCACTTCAATTTTTAGTATAAATTCCATGCCCCACCACCTTCACTCAATTTATGGGGTTGCCATGTGATGCAGCCCACACGATCCAAGACCATGACTCCAGAATCAGTGAAGAAGAAGGACCCACCACATGAAGCTTTTAGATCACCATAAGGCTACGGGAACCATCAAACAAGCATGCCTATCGCTACTCGCTGCTCCGTTGACCCGCATTACTGAGATTGCAAACACAGGTCCCAGTCCCACCTACCCTGATCTCACCAATGTCAAACTCGTGACAACCACAACATTACCCAGAGCCTGCTTGTGAGATCGCATCCCTCCATTTTGCAATCTTGCCGCATGAGAGCTTCGACAGAAACCCAGCATGCACAGTGAACATTGATCATAGTCTTCTGTCCTCAGCGCAGATCCTGCCGACCAAACCTACCTACCGATCACAAGTTTATCTACTTGTTGTTTAACCATTTTTGTATGATGTTTTAGCGCCAAAAGTTGCAACCCTTTTCAAGCTCAGCAGTATAAAAGGCTGCCCAAATACTTGTTAGTTATCACTCTTGAATACAGCTGCTTGAGTTTTTCCTTCAAGCATTCTATTTTTATAAATGACTTTAAATTTTATTGAGGCTGAAAAATATAACTATTACAAGCATCCCTTAGACAGGCACACGATGCTACCTCTCTATAACCAAAACAAAAACATTACAAGTGAGCCCAAAGCAAAGACAGCCTATCCACCCCTTGCTTAGCTAGAGTATCCGCTAACCCATTTGCCAATTTCCTCACCCATTGTATCCTCAAGTTCATATTCTCGATGATCCATTTAAATTATTTTCTCACCCCTATAGCACCATATTACAGACTGGATCATTTAGCCAACCCACCACCAATTCTTAGTCCTCTTCAATCACCACATTGGGCTATATTCAATTCATTAACAATTTGTACTCCTTGGAAAGCTGCAAGCAGTTCTGCCTTCAGAGAGTCCCCAAACCCCACTGGAGAAAACAATTTTATCAGTTTACCTTCCATATCTCGCAAAACCCCTCCTATACCATCAGGTCTTGGATTACCCCTGCTACTCCCATCATAATTCAACTTCACATAGCCTTCAAGTGGAGGTAGCCATACAACACTTGCTCTTTCCTTTCTTGAAGAACTTCTTGCAACTACTTCCCAATTCCTCCAAATATTATCAAGGAAAAACTGAAAACAGGTCCAAAGATTTGATCTAGTGAATCACCCTAATCAACACACAATCCCCCATCTCTTCCTTGCTTTTTTCCTTCTCAGAGAATATTCTGACATTCCTCTCTTCCCAAATGGTCCAAACCAGGGCTGCTCTACATACCTCCACATTATTCTTCCCCTCTTTTTTGGCCATGTAAACATAGAAAGATCAAACAGCATGTTAGCCTCTGTTGGTAAAGACTACCTGCACCCAAACAAGGAAAAAAACCAATTCCAAATATTTGCAACAAAGGCACAAGATACCAGTATGTGAAAGCAACTCTCATTATCAGATCTGCACAAAACACACCAGTTTGGAGAGAGACATAAATTGGGTCTCCTCTTTTGTAGCATTTCCAAAGTATTAATCTTCCCATAAACTATTTCCCAACAAAAGGCTCTTAATTTAGGGGGAATGGGTTTGCACCAGAGCTCTTTCAAGGGTGTAATAAGAATGGGCAGAATGGACCTTAGTTCCTTTCTTTTATTTCAGTTATGTTTATGCTTAGGTTCTTTTAAGTAGTGGACCTTAGTTATGGACTGTTTTGTTTTTTTATTATTTCTTTAGTGTCAGCCGCCCTATTAAGGGTATTCATGGAATCGTACTCAGATTAGAATTAAAGAAATAAAAGATATCTTTGGGGGGGATGGAGAGAGGGATCGAACTCTTCTCTTCTCTCTTTTCTTCTCTCCTCTCTTCTCTCTTCTCTTCTCTCTTCTCTACTCTCTTCCCTTCTCTTCTTCGCTCATCTTCTTCCACAACCATCTGCTGAAACTTCTTTTCTTTTCTTTTTTTTTTCTTTTCTTTTCTTTTCTGAATTATTACAGGGGTCTTCTACAACTAAGGGAAACAAAGGATAGGGCAAAGAATTACAAAGATATTTGAAAAAAAAAAAAAAAAAACACATGAAAACAAACCCTTAGGTGAGGAGCCCAAATATGCTTATCTGCCTTCAAGCATTCGATCTCTTTCCCTCCCTCTCTTGGTGGACTTGTTTTAGAGCCACAAAGAACCCCAAAATCCTACATTGTCTACTTGAGTAAAGACATAATTCACTACCTTGACGCACTGCAAAAGCTAGAGATTAGTGTTATTTTGCTGCTTCAATTTAACAACTGTTGTAGTGTTTCCATAGTTACAGTCAGCTGACATCTGCAAGACTCACTCCTTTAGAGAAATACCATTCGCAACACCATGTCTATGCAAATGAATGTACAAAAGCAAGTATTCTATATGCAGATCCTACAACTTATAGCTGCCAATGGCTCGAGTCTGGTTTGGGACAGGGTGGACCAATCCCAAACCAATTGTTAAGCGGTCCTATAATATAGACCCAAAAACAAAGTCAATTATTAGTCAGGATAATCAGGCTTGACCCTACAATGCTTGACAACTATGATTGCCTACAATAATAACAACTTGGAACTTCATTTTTTATAATATAACCTTAATAAAAACTTAAAGTAAATGGTAAACTGTTTATATGTTGGTAAGACAAGTTTTTTTAACCAAAATTATCTTACATACTGTTAGGGCAATTCGTGTTCCCGTGTTGTGTACGTATTGTGTCAAGATAGGGGTATTCAAATATATGGGGTTGATACAACACAACACGATTAATTAATCATGTCAAATTTTCAAACATGAACATGGCTTGTTTATTACACACATAACATGACATGACTTGCATAATCCAAATTAGCATGATTAACTTGTTTAATTCTATACTAAACCATGCATATAACCTGAATTAACACGAAATCAACATGATCAACTTACTTAAATTAAACAATAAATAGATTTACAGTCCATTTGTTTCCTGGAATAGGTGCCTGGAACCAGAATCGGAATGGCCTGTTCCAATTCCAATTGTTTGTTTGGCAGGAATGGGATTTTGATTCCCATTCTGGGTGGAACGACATTCCCTCATATGGGGGAATTGTCATTCCAGCCCCCCCTAGGGAATGGAATTTCCATTCCAAAGTCTGTCAAGAAGTAAAGAACTCATGACAGAAAACCCCGAACCTTAACATTAATAAAATAATAAAATGTTATTAAATTAATAATAAAATAATAAAGCTGCCTATGGAGAAACATCCACAACCTTACAAGGTTGCTTGGTTCCAAAAAGGTGTGGAGTTTCCCATTACTTCACATTGCCTTGTAAGATTTACTTTTGGTGATAAATATGATGATGAAACATTTTCTAGGCTCAATTGTAATTGTTTTTCCCACCTGTTGGGTGGACTTCTTGGATGGGAGAGTTAAGAAAGTTTATCTCCCCTTTCATGTACCAAATCCTTAATTCTATTAATGGAAAGCCATTTGTTATTGATCAAATATATATATATATGATGAAGCATGGCAACGTGGCTCCTATGGATGTTTGTCATTTACTTTTGTGAAGACCTTGGTTATATGATCACAAAATGGTGCATCTTACGGATGCCAATAATTACACCAACCAGAAGGAGGAAGAAGATCACTTTGCATCCTATGAAGGAGGAAGCTACAAATCCTTTAAGGACAGCAAGGTTGCAAGTTACCTTTCAGCCTATAAATTGAGAAGGAATGCAAGAAGTCAGGCGTGATATATATGCTGGTTGTTAGGAGTTTAATGGCTAACCATCTGGAAGAGTTGATAAAAATCCCTAAGGAAGTGCAGCCATTACTAGAACAATTTGATGAGCTTGTTAATTGGGGAGTTATCAAGTGAAGAGAAGGGGATGACCTGATTGCAAAGGGGTTGATTCGTGAAAGCAAAAGCCCATGTGCAGTTCCAGATAAGTTTTGTCCCAACCATATGGAGTCAGCAAGAAAGCCATTTACCTAACTTAAGAAATTTTTGTAAGAACCCTTTGTCTTGACTGCATAGCACTTCAATGAAGAAAGATTACTTGTTATTTTAAATGAATGGTGTGAAAATATGGTATTACAGAGACAAAAATACAGCAAAATATAGGCTGTGGCAAAGGCTTTAGTTTCGGAAATTGGGACAATTTCATTTTCTTTTATTCGTAGGCAGTTTAATATATTATCACATGAATTAGCTGCTTGGTGTTATCATTCAGGTCTTGAAGGGGAATGGATTTCCTCCCCTCCTAGTTGTATTCGACATCTTTTACTGAATTAATTCTATGTTGAAAGCAAAAGAAATGCAAGGTTTTCCGCTATTAATCCATGGGCTGCAAAAGCTTTTTTTTTTTTGATCAATATCTGAGTTCACTGAATTGTAATCATAATCTTTTTTAATAAAATAAAATGAAATGGGTTTTCCTTGATAGCATTTTGATTGATGAAACCTCAACTTTAACTTCTCAGAAAAAAAGAGAAATTGTAGAAAGAGAAGATATTTAAAAACAAAATAATTCACTTTTTGTAACTTGTATGCCATCACCTCATGATAGGCCGTAGTATTGATTGGAGCAAACGACTTCAGGTGCTACTCTTCATACAAAAATCCCTTTTAATTTATAAGAACTTATGCCATTATAAAAGAAACGAATATTGAATTACTGACAGGCAAACGAAAATGAAGAATTTCCTAACAATGAAAGTAAAACTACAGAGCAAGACTTGCAATTTTACAATGAAAACAGTAAACTCACGTCGCCATTGCCGGTGGTTGAGCAAAGACGTTGAGGTATGTACTGCTTCTTTGAAGCACTTCTCGGATGCAGAAAGTAAAAGCGCGTGAAAACCCTAGACATTTTGAGACACTGAGATAACAGATTCGTCAGAATCAGATACACGAGTGGAGTAAGAGGGCGAAAAACCTAGAAGTGGCATTGACTTACCTCTCGGTGAGATGCCGGAATCTGCCTTCCGGAGATTCTTAGAGGGAAAGACATTAGCGCGGCCGGAACTCGGAAGACGAGAAGAGGAAAGCGGTTACTGGACAAACAAAATAGTGGCGTGAATGCCATCGGTATCAGTTATCAACTGTATCAGAAGTCTGGAGTCTGCATGGTTCAAAGTTCAAACTTGCCAGTAATGAGTGCCGGACTGCCGGGTGGCAATGGATATCCAATTGGCCTACGGATATACACGTACCCGATTACAATGCCCGTGTGGCCGTGTCCACCAACTTTAGACCATTCTTATAATTTGGGCCAACCCAGGTTGGGATGCAAACAGATCGGGTAGGATTTCGAACCATGGTATATCCGAAACCGATCCGATGGTACGTAATCTGAGATTCAATCCAAAAATCCGGTCGGATCTCATAATGGGTGATTCGAATCCGAGTGCGCTAATGATGCTGGATATCTGAATATGATTCTATCTGATTTAAATTCTGAAAAATGTTAATAAATTATTAAAAGAAAAAGTAATAGTTTATATAAAAAGAAAAACAAAAACTAAGTACTTTTTCTTAATTATTTTTATAAAAAATTACAAAAATGCAATATAAATATATTTATAAATAAATATATTAATATATACATATATTTTTATAAATAAACATGTTTATAAATATATAAATGTATTTTCAATCAAATCCTATTATTCAACTCAATAAGATCCAAAAAATCTGATATAGGGTTATTCAAATCCAAGAAAAATATTATCGGATTCAGATCGGGCTTGATCCATTTGCACCCCCAAACCCAAGTCTCCAAAATGAACAAGTACAACTTATGGGTGACCATGGGCTGGTACTAAACCGACCTTTAGCACTTATGCTAAGGGTCTTGGTCGCATGGCCATAGTGTAAATATCCCTTTTCTGCATATTTTATTATTTTGTTTTTCTACAGTACCTCGAGAAACATCTCAACCAATTTTGGGGCATTTCTGAAATTTTACAAAATTTAAACCTCCAAGTTAACCTAATCCAAATCCACAGATATATAGATCCAAAGTTCTGAATCAAGTTGCACCAATACCATCCAAATCCAGCATTCTTATCCCTCCAGTCTAAGACCCAAAATCAAAATTGATTCTATCATCCATTTCAAATCTTTCTGATCACAAACTTAATTTTACATTAAATCTGATATCAAACCCCGTAGATATGCAAAGCCTCAAATTTCGTATCTAATAATATCAAAATCATCCAAATCCAACACTATTTACCCCTTTATCTTAATATCTGAATTTAGAAATAATCATAATCTTTCATTTGGAATCTCTTTCAATCCAAGGCCCAACCCACACCAAATTCAACATTAGTCGCATTCCTAAACTAAACCAACCTCCTTGAACCTCTCTTACAAAACATCCGATCAAACCTAAAATCCACTATCCATATAGTCTAATCAATCTATAACCCTCCAATTGGAATCCAACATGGTTGACCTTGTCCCGATCATCAAATCAAATCTCACCATCATAAAGGCCGCTTTGATCCAAGTCCTAGGGCACTAAAATCAGATTTCTTAAAGTCCCATATCACCCCGCTAAAAAACTTGATTTGCACAACAAATGAGAGTCCTTCATTTGGAATCTTCAAAATAAATTAAACTTGGGATCCACATGGCCAAGTCCTCCCTTCCACTTTAAATGTCAAAGGCCGGCAATATTTGAATATATGCATAAAAATATGGGGCGAGCCAACTGATGGTGGCTCGGTTGGTAGGTTCTTTGACTCTTTGGAGTAGAGACATGGGATCAAATCCCGCAGCCACCAAGGGTTGGGGAGGGTTAAGGGAAAGGGAATGGGCTACCCCCTGTTGTGTAGCCCCATGGAGTAAAAAAAAATTAAAATATGGGGCGAGATTAATAATCAATTAGGCCAAACACCTCCATATGGAAAGTCTCATTTTACTTCACTCCATTTGGTTCCCTAGAATAAGTGCCTCAAATCATAATTGGAATGGTCCATTCCGGTTCCAATTGTTTGTTTGGTTGGAATGGCATTCTAGTTCCCATTCTTAGCAGAACGAGATTCCTCCAAACTTAATGTCAATAAATTAATAGATTATATTAAATAAATTATATTATATTTTAATAAAATATATTCATAAAATACTAAGATATTAAATATATTCATAAATTATTGATAAATACTAAGATATTAATTACTAAGTACCAATGCAATAATAATAACAAAGTACTAATAAAATAATAATTATATATTCATAAAACATTAACAAAATAATAATGAAATAAAAAATGGACTAATACAAAATTCAAAATTTTTAGTTGATTATGATTCCCACCCCAAATGAATCAAATAGCAACAGTCGGAATCCAATTTTGATTCCTGATTGAACCAAATAAACATCAGAATAGGTGATTTTTTTATTTTGATTCTCAAGGATTCTAATTTCAAATTCGATCCCATTCGAAGCAAACAGACACTAAGACTTTCCACCATTTTCCCCAATATCTCACAAATCCTCTTGCCTTCTTCAGCCAGCGCTTCCATCCCATCTCCCACATCAATTTTTCCTTCAAAATACCCTTAATCCTCACCCTCCATTTCCAAACCCAACAAACCCCAACCATTGATCAAAATATAAAAACTTCCCTAGAGTTCTATAAATACCACCCTTTATCCCATCTAAAGAGATGAATAGACATAAACCTATAGAATACTCAATCGCATCCAACTCTTTCCTTACTCCCTCTCATCTAAACGGTACCCATCCATCCATTTCCAAACCCAACAAACCCCAACCATTGATCAAAATATAAAAACTTCCCTAGAGTTCTATAAATACCACCCTTTATCCCATCTAAAGAGATGAATAGACATAAACCTATAGAATACTCAATCACATCCAACTCTTTCCTTACTCCCTCTCATCTAAACGGTACCCATCCAGTGAGATTGGCTAATTCCCTATGGTTTAGATAAGTTTGTATTGTTTTTTTGTATCTTAATGCTAAATTGTTTTGTTATTTTTTTAAATTTTATGGTTTGTAATTATTTTTAAGTAAAAACATTTTTTTGGTTTGTAATTTCAGAATAAAGTTGGTTAAGGGTAAATTTGGTATTTAAAGAAAATTAATGCATTACATCAACAATTTCTATTTTGAATGCTAATAGAAGGAAAGTATCTATGTTTTTTTCAAAACAATATGGAAGGTTTTGTTAAGGTCGAAACATATATAGGGGAGGTTCATAGGATTCTTAGAAAACCCAAGGAGGTTTTTTATAATTTCCCTATTTTTAAATAGAACTTAAGTTGATCTTAAATTAATTAAACTATATTTAAGGTTAATAAATTTTTATTAATTGTTCTTTTTAATAATCGATATCAAATTTAATTAATTATATTATATTTTTATTTTTAAGGGATTTTAAGTTTATTAGTAAAAATTAATTATAAAACTATAATAATTGATAGATAATTTTGTATTAGTTTTATCTTAATTTTAAATGGATATTAGTTTTTAACTTATCTTATTTAATTTTTATTATATTTATAAAAATAATTTTTATCAATAATAATAATAATTAATATTTTTATCTTATTTAAGTAATTTAATAAATTATTTTTAATATAGTTAATTAATTTTTATTATTTTAAATGGAATATAAATGGATTATAATTTTCGTGATGTTTTATTGAATGTTTTCAACTCATCTTTGACTCAAACAATTAAACCATCACTCGACCTTATTTCTAATCATGGGTTTCCTATAACCTACTATTTTGTCAAAAATCATTGATTTGGTCAAAACTTGTTCAACTTAGGCAGTTGAACCGTTAACCCTTTTGATCTAGTCATTGGGTCATGGGTTACAATCTACAAATTATTGAAAACATCTAGAAGACTTAACTTTGTGATTAGTTGTTTGATTGAGGTGATCCTTTTTATTTTGGCCAACTTTTTATGATCTTTGCAACTCCATCATACAAAATAATACTAATTTTGTGGCCTCAATTTTTAATTTCTAGCTCTTTTATTTATAGAAAAATAAAAAATATATATAAATTGAACATACAATAATACACACAAAATGTAATTTGCATATGGACGATGTGTTATGGTTTGATTTGTCAAACCCAAACAATTGAACCATCGACCTGTGACTTAGCGGCAAAAAACTATTAAGCCTCCAAGTCCAATTTCAAAACACTGTTTTATTTGTTTAGTGAATTAAACAATTAGTATTTATTTCAAAATATAAACTACTTAATTAATTATCCTATAGATTAATCATCTTTTAAATTGAAGTAGATCATTTAGCCTAATAATATATCATTAAATATCGCCATTTTGAATTCACATCGGCACTCCACAGCACATCCCGACCGTGTATTGGGAACGTCTCCTAATGATAAGTACGAGAGATGTTGCCAATGCACGTTGAGATGTACATGTGGGGTGCCTTGTGTGGGGCACCAATTTGAGTTCCTCCATTTCAATGTAACTATTTTTATTGATAATTGTAATTTAATATATATATATATATATATATAAATATCTAATATATATATAATTATAGTTAAATTGAAATGGATATAGGTAGAGATAAAGTTAATGAATTTTAGGCAATTTAATGGAGTAATGAAGAGGAGAGAGAATTTATAGAATGAGTTGTTGAATGAGAGAATTAATGACATAATTAATGAGAAAGAGGATAGAAAGTTAATGGTGAGTTAATGAAAAGAGATAAAAAGTTTTAAAGATTATTGGCCACTTGAATTATTTTGATTAATTTTAAAATGAGAAATTTAAAAAAAAAAAGAAAATCAGCCATCTTTGCTAGAGAAGAGTGGAAGATTATTTTATATTTCTTAGGATGACCAATTCATTATAAAGACCGTGGAAAATCTGAGGTAAAAGTTTAGTTTTCTACCCTCTTTGAGGTAAATGTTAATTTCCTATTCTATTTCTTTAAGTAAGAATCATGGGTTAAATGCTTTCTTTGCCCTTTCTATTCTATTATGAGTACAAGTTGACTATATATGGTACTCAAGAATGCCAAGGTTAATGGGTCCCATGTAGGTAGTGATTTTCCTTTTTTCTCTTTTATAAAAATTTAAATACTTTTTTATTAAATTTTAGCATACAAATTTTGTGGATTGATCAAAATTTCT